AAACTGTTACAAGGCCTTAACAACCTTTTTTTATATTCCCAATAAGCAAGAGCCCGACTCAGCAGATAGCTCTCTGCCTGGTATTGTTTTATTAGTGTAATAGCTTTATGGCAATGATTCATTCACTGGTTTATTGGCAACAAGGCGAGTTACTGTAGTTAAATATTTTTCCATGATGTAGTAATTTGCAAAGCTGAGCATCTTCAATATGTATAAAGGTATAAAGGCCACCAACTGGCTCGGTCATTTTCCATGCAGTGGAAGTCAACTTTACCTGGCTTCATGTGGTTTTCCTGCTGATGGAGAAGAGTCAAGATTTCCATTTTCACCCATGGGTGATAAGAAATGGCTGGCTGCTCCTCAGTGGATTATTATTTCAGCGTGGATGCTTGCAGCTGTGACTCATAGCTCTGAAAATAGGAAAGCACTTTGTGATGGTGCATATTAGTAAGCACGCTTCAGCTGCTGTAATTAATTCTATGGTTCTTTCCCTTTTAAGGTAACCAGATAACCCATAACCTGCCAGTTTGCTTTCTCAGATAAAGGTTTTTCATTTCTCTTTTAACTTTCCATGCTCCTGCAAATCAGCCTTGCTTTCTTCCTCCTTTCAGTGCTGTGTACCTGAACCTAAGACTATTACATGGTCTGAAAGCTTTGAACATCAATGCTGTGATCAGCCAGCAAAGCAGTCCAATTTCCACTTTGTTCAAATGGAGCTTTCCTGTCTTGTCTGAGAAAGTGTCTGCCAATTCATTTTTCTCTTCTTATCAGTAAAACACACATATACTGTGCTTATGTTGCTTAATATAAAACACAGGGAAAATCCGTGAACAATCAGAAGACCAGTTAGAAAAACTGCCTGGATTTTTGCTGTCATCCCAAAGCACACACTTTTGTTTGTCATGAAATGAGAAAGCAAATCGACGAAGTGCTGATTTTACAGGTGCCAATCACTGTCAATTATTAGACTTTGATAATGGTCTTCTTCAAACAGAGAATATTTATCATATATTCAGCTTCATAGAAATCATTTCCCTCCTCTGAACCCCTAAACCCCCAAAGTCTGGCTAATATACTGATAGTCTGAGACAGTAGCAACTAATTTATATGGAAGAAATTTGTGGCAAAGATGTAGGAGTCTAGCTCCCAATACCTTCCAAGACACTTTGATCGACGATGGCACAGAAGGGCTTTCATATGTCATAAGCAGGGCTATTTCATACCCAAAAATGTAACACACAGTTTATTCATTGCTTTGTATACTTACTTTTCATGAAGAAGCAATATCTTTTATTCTCTATTGAGGTCCAGCAGGGAAGAACTTTCTCTCTCTTTTTCCTCATGTGTAAAGACAGGATTGAGGGCAACGGTGGTTCAGCGGGTGCAGGGAAAGGCAAATGCCGTTGTAATTCTGCACTTAGTACTTTAAATTTTCTTTCAAAATTTTTAAAGGGTAAAACTGGACCAAAGCATGGATTATTTTGTTCTAGTCCCCAGTTTATTTTGTTTGTTTTGTTTTGCTCTCTGTATTAGTTGGAGGTTGGAATAGAGAGTATGCAGGGGGTAGGTAAAAAGGAGAGGAGAGGAAACCATCCCAATTCCTTCCCCTGTGCACCTGTAGCATTTTGCTGCACCCAGATGCATTTCCTGACCATCTACTATCTTTCCAATATGCTGCTGAGCTGTACAAACAAAATATTTGATGGGAAGGACATAAGCCAAGCTACATGTCATCAAATCTGATTCTACCACTTTCTAGTTTTCTGACCTTTGGCAAGTAACCTAATCTCACTTGCTCTATCTATAAAGGAAGAATTAAGAGCAGTGGTAGTTCAGTGGTAGAATTCTTCTATCTGGGAGAGCTGGATCCATTTCCCTGCTAGTGCATCTCATGGGTAGCTACCACCCATCTGTCAGTGGAGGCTTGCATGTTACTGTGTTGCTGAACAGGTTTTAGCAGAGTTTCCAGACTAAGATGAACTAGGAAGGCCAGGAAATCTACTTCCAAAAGTCAACCATTGAAAACCCTATGGAACACAGTGGCCCAGTCTGCAATGGATCGTGGGGATAGTATCGGACTAGGCACCATTTCGTTCTGTTGCACGTGAGGTCACAAGTGACGTCAGCTAACAATAACAAAAGAAAGATTAGAAAAATACCTCTCTCATAGTGTTACCATCAGGTCCAAATACTTTAATACATGCAAAGTCACTTACCATAGTACCTGACACCTAGTAAGAACTCAACAAATGTTAGTGGTTATCTTTATTAGCATTGCCCTCAAAGTGCTTATAATCCAATTACTAGGGAGAATAAATAGAAAATCATGTGAAATTGTGTGATACAGATCGTAAATGCAGTAGAATTTTAGGAGAAAAGTGTAAAAGTAAATTTAGCTATAAAACTAACATTTGGGCTAGTTTTACCAATATCAAATATTTTTGAGTCTTTGTGTCTCATGGACTCTCTTAGGATATTCTTTTATTCCCCCCGACTTTGCTGTCAATTATACTTTTGAAGCTTTGCTTCAAATTGGACTGTGTGTTTTGCACTAGAACTCAGTGTTAGCAGAGGCCAGGCTCCCTAGCTTGATTGAACATTAAATAAATACAGTGATTTATTCTCTGCCTCACTGGAATTCCCATGGAACAGCATGCTTAAATGCTCAAGTAAAGGGGTCCACAGACTATGATAGATGAGTGCTGAGGACTCTAGGAATAATTTTCCTAGTACATGTTTTGGCTTGCTTATAGCTTTTGAACAGGTAATATGGAGATGAGAAAATTGCTGAGAATACAATCTAGAGTAAAGAATTGTGGAGATGCCATGCAAGATTGTCCTGTATCTAACTCGTCTAGGACCAAAGTGCAGCAAGCAAAGCATATCAGGCTCCACGCATATCAGGACCACACATGCCTTTGTGACATAAAAGGAAATGTTGTTAGGTGCTGTCAAGGCAATTTCAACTCATAGTGACCCTGTGTGACAGAGTAGAACTACCCCAAAAGGGTTTTCATGGCTATAATCTTTACAGAAGCAGATCATCAAGTATTTCTCCCATGTAGCAGCTAGATGGTTTGAACCACCAAACTTTCAGTTAGCAGCCAAGTTTCTTAACTATTTGTGCCACCAGAGCTCCTATTAAAAAGAAATAGTAAGTACATTAGAGAGACATTGTATCCAAGAGAGTTAGAGAACAAAGTCCTGGTCCCGGGTCAAACTTGCCAAAGGATCCTAGACAGGGCAGGGCACTTAGCCACTTTCAGATTCTCAGTTCTATAATCTGTGAAATGGGAATATTGATACCTTCTCTACTGTCTGATAAGGTTTTTATAACAGCAAATAAAATAGTGTCTGTAGAATTCCTTGAACTGTTAAGTGCTACAAAATTGTTTGGTAGTACCATGATGGAGTTTACAATCTAAAGGAAAAATTGTTTCTAAGAGCATAAAGAAAAGAATCAGTTACACCAATTACACAGTATGTGTGGAAACAAATGTTTAATTTTACCAATTATTTGTCCATGGGATGACTAATGTTTGACTCCACTGATGTCCACAGCAGGAAAGAACAGTTAGCTTCTGTTTAAACTTATTATTTTGATTCTATTTAACTGTATTGATTTAAGAAATTAAGAATATTATTAATAAGTTAAGAAATGTTCTATTAGTAGCGACTAGGATTATAAATCTTGCAGCCATCTAGATGCAACAATGGGTCTTTCCTCATCCGGAGCAAAGAAGAATGAAGAAAACCAAAGATTCATGTAAACAATTAGTCCTTGTGACTGGTACACCATGTGATCCACAGCCTATATGACTATGAGACCAGAAGAACTAGATGGTGCCCAGCTACCACTGTCAACCACTCGAAGGGGGATCTATGTAGGAGATCCTGGATACAGAGGGAGAAACTCAGAAGGATATCAGATACCAAATAGGATAGAGAGGGAACAAAACTCAAAATCATTTGGGGAAAAAAAGGGGGGGGGCATTAGGTTTGCTGGTCTGATAGAGCCTGGTGGAACCACTGAGACTATGGCCCCTAGCTGCCCTTCAGGTCTGGAATTGAACCCACACCTGTAGCTTCCAGCCAAATGAAAGACAGGTATATGAGTTGAACATTTACCTGAGGTAGATACACTCCTTGGAGAGAACAATCATGGGAGAAAGAAGGGCTGTTTATGCACAGGGAGACAGCTAAGGGGGCAGGAGTGCATGGAGGGATGGACACAGGGAAGAGGTAACTATGGGGCGGAAGGGGAGGGGAACTGTTGCATTGGAGTAAATTTTAGTCAATGTCATGAGGCAAAGTGTATGTGAACTGCTGTATGGAAAGTGAATTTACTCTGTAAACTTTCACCCAAATCACAATAAAAAAATTTTAAAAAAAGAAAGAAATGCTCTATTAATACACAGGTATTAATGTACAAAAATGTTTGTGGTCCCTGAATCTGTTTTGAATTGTAAAATCTATTGAATCTTAATAAGTAAGAATATAAATATATTTTCATTTATTCATGGCCACCAATAACCTTCATTAAGGCAAAACTTTTTACTTCAGCCAAGCATGTAGCCATAAGCCATACCACCATATTATGTCTACAACTTTATTCATTGTTCTCTCTAAAGTGGTAATAATATAGTATTTATATGTACTGCATTATCTAACATGCTTTGGTCATAAGAGTCTTTATGATAATATTTGGGATAGCACCTGGTACAAAGATGGCCCTTAGAAAACTATCAACATATCTGCTAAGGTTCCTGAGGCCATCTTAGGGAAGGTAGCATTATTTGTGGAATCAGTGGACACTTCCACTTCAGAGAATCAATGACTGCTTTTCAAAAGTGTGCAAAAGCTAATAGAGGGAGAGCCAGTAGCTTCTGTCAGTTTCTCAAAGGGTTAAGAACCTGGTTTGTTGAAGGGAATAAGTGATTGGCATCTGGCTGAGTTAAATTCCAAGAGCTTTCTAACAGGAAATATGCTTCTTGTTCTAGGTACTAAAATTTGAGCCTGGTCCTGTCAAGAGGAGGGGCAGAGCTAAGAACATGGCTCTTGTTGACATCCAGTTGGATCACCATGAGCGTTGTGATTGTATCTGCAGCTCAAGACCACCTCGATAAAAGAATGTGCATATACTTACATTAAGCCTGAAAGAACCGTTAGTTTAAGGAGGGTGTGGTAAGGTACCCTTCTCCCACCAGCAACCAAACTTGCTACTAGCCCACAATGCAATGAATGCAAGTGGTTGCTTAGTTTCAACCTAGCTTTATTAGTGTCATGTAAAGTAGTGTCATCAACTATCAACTTCTATATTCAGGAATATAGGATTGCATTTACTAATAGTGTCTGAAGATACATATATATATATATATATATATATATATATATATATATATATATATATATATATATATATATATATGTTCATGTCTATGTGTAAATAGATAAATCAAATGGTTTATTCAATATACATAACTGGGTAAACCAGAGCTCATATATGGTTACTTAGATCCTTAAAATCCTTTGACAAAAAAAGGATGTGTTAAATACATGAAACATTTCTTTAAAAATTCCAAAGATGAATGTTTATATTTTAATTTTGAATGGTTAAAGAATTTTGGTTCTTGCTCTGTTAAAGAAACACCTTGTGTATTAAAAACAAGATGAGTTCCTCTTATGTGTATATCTTAATTGATCATAAAAGAGGAAAAATCTGGCTTCTAGAAAAAACCAAATATCTAACTAATTTTTTTTTCCCCATGAGATGCACTATACACTTGTCTATGCATACAATAATTACTTTTCTCCCAAACCATGTGATAATAATATAGGTGCTTTAGAAATTAAGTCATTGTCTTTTTTTTTTATGTATTTTGCTGGGACATGATAATTCATTTAACACGTTTCAAAAAAAGTTGCTCCAAAGGTTTATTGTTATAATCCTGCAAGAGGCAATTTATAAGCTGTACCAAAATTTTGAAACTTTTTTCTTTCCCGAAATCCCTCCACAAAAACAAATTCTTTCAAGAGCAGCATGGAGACTGCATGAGCCTTCCCAGATAGTGTTCATTGGAAGATTTGGGCAGTTGAAAGTCAAAAAGGTGAGCAATGAAGTGTTACTATAACTGGAAATTGGATGAAATATTTGATAGGACCCATATTTACTTATGTGTTCAAACTCCCCAAGCTGTGCTCGTTTCTTTGAGGTATCTTGCTTTTCTGTTCCTGTCTATTTGATATATGGACATGGATTTACAATGGCATTTTATTCTTGGCACACCATCATGGATTATTTATATCTTAAATTTTTTTGTATTAATAAAACAACTGAATTTTAGTGATGCTAATCCCTAATCATGTATTTACTTGTGATTCTGAATTCCTGTTTCAGAATCAGATGAAATCAGATCTGAAGTCCTTGGTTCTTCCCAAATCTGTGCAACTTGCCACAGTGAAAATTGTAGCAGCACAACTTCAGCCCCTCTCCACCATGAGAAAATGGTTTTTGCAGTGCTTATTACTGGTATTTATAGCAATTTTTCCTCTGTGGCTCCCAATTGTCTATTTTAAAGGAGCCTGACTCCAGGGGTAGGAAGTGATTCATCATCCTACAAAGCAAGGTTCTTAAGAGAGTAACATTGAAATCAGGATTGCTCCAGGGTTCCTAAAAGAGAACTATATTTTTCTTCCTGCCTTGAGAGAAAAAAAGGACAGTTGATTCTTCTGAGAATCTAGGGTCCTACTGACAACAACCAATTTGGGTGAGGGGTATGTGACAGGGACTAGTTAAGTCATAGTGTCAGATGAGGTCTTAATATAGTTGGATTTCTAAGCCTGGTGCACTCAGGACTCAGTTCACAATTATCCTTAGTAACCCATTTCTTCTTAGCTCTTTGAGATTAAAGGCCAATGCTTATTGAAGATGTACCTTCTAAAATTTCCCCTGAAGTGTCCTGTGTTTTTACCTCAGGGGGTGAGTGGTAAAATTAAATGCTCTTCAAAATCCCAGAGCAAATCAGAAACTATAAAATCAGAAGTAGTTAGGGCAGACATTCTAATAATCAGAAACCACTCTTCACCTTCACAGCCACTTAGAAATTTCCTATGAAAACATCAGTTTCCTGCACCACAATCAAAATGTGAATTACATCACTCTAGCTTGTACAACTCACACTGTAGCTGTAAATATGAAAAATTAGAGTGTTTTACCCAGTTTTCAACAAGGCTTCCAGGCTGCAATAACCAAGATGGTTTTCAGTTAAAGTCCTTATCTGTACTTTTTATTTATTTGCTGATATGTAAGCAGGCAAATTCCCTCACTTTTCTTATTCTTGGGCATTTTGTTAATACTTCATCCTTGGTTATCTGTTCTCCAATGCACTTCCAACATAGAGTCAATAAATCTGCTTCATTGCCATCAGAGAAATAAAAAGCTCACTGTACAAATTACATTTCAAAACAAACCCTAATAAATCCACATTTCTGCACAGCCACTCACCTGGAATAATGCCTTTCATTCAATATGTTCTTATCGGGCAGAACACTTTCATAAGTAGAATTTTTTATGGTTTTTTTTTTTTTTTTTGAATCATATTGGTAACATGCAGCTTTTTTCTCCCACAGCATTTTCTATAACAAATGTAATGTGTCTCTTATCATCATGAAAAATAAATACTGTTTTTGAACAAAACTATTCTATTATTCAGTAGTCAATTGCAGTTTTAAAAGCTGTGTAATGTTGCAAACTTACTTTCACAAATTCACAAATGCATCCAACTGTTTGAAATGACAAAATTGAGTGATTTCTGAGAACTTCACATTATAAGGTTGAAAGAGTACAAACCTTGTGCCCAGACTAGGTCTTCCACTCCATCTGCTTCCTGCAGCTATTCAGCAAGATGGGGCTTGGATTTTATTGCTGCTGTTATTATTTCTATGTACAATTGATTGTTTTCCCACAGGCCTTTTAGTGAATTGTCTTTTCCTCTGAGAGTCCTTGGGTAATACAAATGGTTAACACACTCTACTGCTAACTGGAAGGTTGGATGTTCAAGTCTACCCAGAGGCACCTTGGAAGAAAGGCCTGGAGATCTGCTTCTGAAAAATAAGCTGTTGGAAACCATATGGAGGGCAGTTTTACTCTGGCACACATGCAGTTGGCATGAGTGAGAATCGACTTGATGGAAACTGGTTTTAATCTTCTCTGACATTTCTCACATAGGAGATTTCACCTCTCTCCTCTTTGGAGGACTGACATCAGCATCACAGACTCATTCCTCTTTAGTGTGCTCACCTTTGCACCTTTTTCCATCTAGACAGACACCACAGCTAAGTGATTCCATGTTATCAGTTCAGGAAGACCAGTTTAGGGGCTACATTCCTAGAGCATTTGATTTTAAGATTTATGGAGAGAGCACAAAGTGTAAAGAGACCTCTCTTAGCTGTAAGAATTTTTGCTATTGCTTGTAGTTTAGTCTTTATTGTCATCCTCCCAGAGATAGAACAGCAGCTGCAGAGTTTTGTGTGAAGCCTGCCACTTCATTTAGTTTAATAGTTTTAGGTTGTTTGGGGAATAGCAGTACAGACATGTACTCTGTGGCAAGAGTTAATTGTTCTGTGAGAAATAATGGCTAATGTGTGTCAAAGCCAGGGATGGGGGGAAGGATCAGATAATTCTGTGCATAACAGTTAATTCAGATAACTTAGTTTTTCTATGTAAAAAAATCATAATAGCCATATATATAAATAGTATTGGAATGCAAATATATTACAGATTTTATTTCATTTCCTGAAATGTACATGTGTCCATTTTTACTCTAAGAATAGCTCAACAGATGTCCAAATGGTTCATATACTCCTCGGGTCCCCTGGTAGAACATTAAGTTAAAATTCATAAATTAGTATTCATGCCTGTAATCCTAGGAAATACTATTTTGTTTATTGACCATCCTGATCAAATATGCTGGAAGATAGAATATTTAAAATTCAGTGGTTTTATTGACATTCACTCAAATTCTGGTATTTTAAAAGCTCAAGTTAAAGACTGCACATGCTTTCACAACTTAACATAGCACCCTGGAATGTCCCCAATTAATATAGTCACCCATAAACAATAGATAGCAATAAACCACTTAATTTGAGACTTTATACTTGCTGTTCAAGTTATCTTTCTGAATTTTGCAAATTTTCATACTTTTAAAATTTCATTTCTATAGAGATCTCTAAAAATTATTTAGCAAATCATATTAGAAGAGAGTAGAGCTTAGTTAATAAAGGTTACTGTACCCAGTACAGCAAGTTGTGAGCCAAAAAATCTTCATTTTCTGACAAAATAATTTTAATTTCTAATTATGGTACAACTCTTGGATACTAGTTGCCAGTTGTAATGATCAGGAATCAAATGTTAAAAATACTCTTGGATTCAATTTGTATTTCAAACAATACTTGCGATACACATTTTCTCTTTTAAAAGGTAAAGTCTCAGGGTTATATTCTCTAAATTATCTTTTTTGGTTGAGCCCATGATATAAATTCATTTTCCTCTAGATTTGATGGTATCTCCTTTACTTCCTGTGACATGCACATTCTTACTCTTTCTTATCAGCCTTCTCCTGCAAGTTTTCAAGTAAAAGGGAGTCATGCAGGCAAAGGAGGTGAGGGTCATTTGTGGAGACCAGATACTGATTTCCCTAGTGAGCATTTCATAGGGTAAAATTACCAACTATTTTAAGAAATCATAGCCTCTTGTGAGTTGAACATATCAAAGGAATATTCACCACTATTGTCCATTATAGTACAAAGTTGAGAATAAGGTAAATAAGGTGGTAGATATTTATTGATTTCTATAAAGGGCACTTTAGCTGCTGTTAATATAGGGAAAGTTGACTAAATTAAATTTTTCATTCATTCAACAACAAAACTTATTAAGCCCATTATTTGTTGGTTACACATTGAGGTTCAAAACGCAAGTAAACTCTCAACACAGGATAAAATTGGAGAATGATATTCCAAGTGGTATAAATGGAAAAAACAAAAATCTCCACCAAAAGTGATGAATGTGGGGCACTCAAAGAATAGAGAGTAAAATAAAATGCTGAAGGGAGGAAGGCCTATAGGGGAACAATTGGTAGTATGCTTGAAAAATCAGGCTAAGGCCTGATTACACAAAGTCTTATGTGGATGGCTAGCAAAGGAGTTAGTCTTTTACATAGAGAAGAGGAAGTCATGGCCAGCTTCTGAGCATAGTGGAGGTTGCAAAGTGAGCTCCAGACAGAAAGTCAAAAGGCCT